TTTTTTTTTTTTTTTTTTTTTTTTAGGTTCGACATTTTGCAGTTTTATAACGTCTCTAAAGTTGAGTATGTCTTTACATGTGTGATATTGTAGGCTTAGAGTTACTGTGTGCGGTTATATAGCTGAAATGGGTATATCAAGTTAATGAGACTAGTAATAGCTTGTATTGATATACGAACAACTAGGCAGAAAACTCATTTTCAATACAAAACACCAATAACTCTCATAACTAAATACAAAGTATGATGGAGAAAATGACACATCATACCTCTTAGCCAATTGCCTCTGGTTTTATGATATTAAATGTCAATATCAAACACATGAGTGGTGTTTTCTATGGGCTGCAAAACTAACACAAAAAAATAATCAGTGTGGGTGTGAATAAATGATCTTTTGGATCTCAAAATTGATGGGAGGGTGAATATTAGGATTAAACAATATAAACAGAGTGATGGGAAATGGTCCAGCTAATGTTGAAAAGGGCATCCAAAGGGGTATGACCCAACAGAGCCATGTGGTCCTCTTCCACTCTTATCCCCTTTTTAACTTATATTTTGGATCCTTCTTTTGTCTCTCTCTCAGTCTCCACATGAAGGATCGATGTGGCTTTGACTATTAGTTCTCTTTTCTCTAGACATTTAGTAAAATATGTTTTTCTTAAAAATATAGTATAGTTCTCTTTGTGCCCATAAATTAATAGGAAGATGGAACAAGCATCAATACATTTTTCAAAAAAGAAGAAATGCTAAAAGATCTAGCAATAACAATCAACTTGTTTTTTTTTTTGTAAGTATCAACTCAAAATAAATACATAGCAGAGTGACTTTAAAAACTTGAAAACATTATGACACTTACGAACAATACAAATAAGATGGGACTATGTTTTGGAAACATAATTCGAATAATATCATGCTTGTAATATATACATGATAAATAGGTTGTGATGTAACTGAGATATTGAAATATATGCAGGAATTTGACAAAGGATATGGACCAGCATGGCATTGCATAGTGGGGTCAAGTTTCGGGTCGTTCGTGACACACTCCACAGGTTGTTTTATTTATTTCTCAATGGACAAACTCTACATTCTCCTCTTCAAAACCAAAGTTCGTCCTGCTTCTCCCCATTGATTTTCTTTCTTTCTTCTTCTTATTATATATTGTCTTCCTCTCTTCTTTTTAGGATATTACTATAACAATCATATTCCAAAGGCCTACTGTAAATTCATTATTACTACTTTTTTTTATACTATGTTATCATAAAGTTGGCAGAACTATACAAGCATTGGTTCTATTTGTGGGTCGAGTTTGTTTGGATTATGTGTTAATTGATATGCATGCATGTGTCCAACAAAATAAATCTCGGAATATATATTGCTTCAAAGATAGAAATAGGGTTCAAAAACCTGAGTAATGTGATTAAGATTTTGGAATTTGAGAAGTGATTGTATAAAAAATTTATATGGTTTATATATCTTGCTAAAAATGTTTATTATTATTATTATTATGTTATATTCTGTTCTTCATTTGGCATACCACTCTAGTCTTAAGTGTCCATGAGCGTAGCTTAACATAAGGAGCTATGGGATACTATACTAGCTACTAGGGAACAAATCCCTATTTGAAGAGGGATCGGAGCTTCATGTAGCATAGACATGCCTTAATATGATACTACTTGATTTCTACTCCTACTCTTTGTTGTATAAATAAAGGTTCTATTAGGAATGAGACTTTGGTGTTATACAAGCTTCAAAAGTATCTGCTTCTTTATAGCAAGTACAAAGATATAAAAGTTTTCTTTAGATTTAGCTTTGGATATGTGGATTCAGTCAAAGCGTCCAATGACAAATCATTTGCTTCTTTATGGCAAATAATTTTAGCAAACTCACCACAATATTGCACCATGCTATTTTTTCTCTGTATTTTTTTTCTTTTATGAATTTTGAAAAACAAGAAAGCTAGAAATTCAGATAGTAGAACTTAGTAATTCGATTCAAATATATTGGTCTCCGATTTTTAGCACAATGACTAATTCCAAATGAAAATCCTCTAAACCTGAGAATTGCACCCTTATGGCAACACCTTCATAGATAATAACATCTCTTCTGATGAAGGTTAAAAAAAGTGAAAATGTTGGCTGTCAAAATGATTTTCAAAGCAAACTTTATAACTGACTTTTTTTTTTTTTTTGGTTCTGAATGTTTCGCAAAAAACAAGCATTGAAAAGATAATCCATATAATAATAATCACATTCTTCAAACATCCATGTCATAAAACAAAAGCAAAACCTTGTCCAACATGAATCTGAAACTTCCACATAAGAAAAGAAAAACATACACAAACAACCCTAATATGATCGATAATATATGCATCCACCATTGTAACAATGATCTTATGAACTTCCACCACTTAATGATCTTCCTCTGCGTCTCCTTCTTCTATTAGACGAAAACAAAGAACAAAAGCCACAACCAGCAGATATTTCAGGAGAAGGTGGATCCATCGTTGTAGAAATCTCCAACCGTCCACCGTGGCTACGTCCTCCATCAGATGCGCTACGTTGCACTTTTGCTGTGGTGGCAGCCATTGATACGTCACGATGATCGTTACGTCGGTCTTCTTTTCTTTCGTCTTTGCGAATCTCTCCGCTCAAGAATCTGTCGTTCCATATGAGTCCTGATGATCCTTGTCTCCTGAAAGAAGTTGTCGATCTCTGCAACGCCATATTGTTTGGTTTATTTTTCAATAGAATGTGAATTTGTCTGCCGATAACAAAGATTTTTGAAACGGACGAAGAAGAAAGGAAAGACAAGAATATTTATGAGAGACGGTTTTTTTCCTTTTTTATTTTTATTTATTGGTTTCTTCTTGAAGACTTTGTCATTTTTTCCAATTTTTGTATTATACGATATTATTTTCTTATTACGGTTTCCAAATTTGTGGTTAAACTGAAAAATTCTAGGAAAATTAGATTCATTGACCAAAAATAGGGAAAACCGAAGAAACGTAACTTACAGTCTGTTTCTTTGATATATCTTCTAATTGCTGAAAGAAATAAAACTGTCACTGTCATCCCAAAACAAGTTATAACAAAAAGTTTCTATGTAAGATTGGTCTTAGATGGACGACATGCGTTTCGTGTCCTAACGATTTTATATTCATTTGCCCGGGTCAACAAAATGAGTGAATATCTCAAATTATTAATTTTCCTAAATAGGTATGAATAAACATATATATATATATATATTAATATTTAAGCTTTCATTTTTTCGTCAACTTATATTAATATTTATCACGGATGTATAGTCCAATTGGTTTAAACATAAATGCTAGTATTGTTGTATTCTTGGGTTCGATTCACCATAGGAGAAATACTTTGTATCATGAATCTTATCTTTATAATATCGTTATCTGCGGAATTCCGGATTTGGAGATTATGGATTTTGTCTCTGAAACCTCTATATAATAAAAAACATATATTAATATTTTTTTTGGTCAAAAACGTATATTGATATTTAACTCTAACCATTATTGTAGAACTTGAGAATATTTGTTGTTGAGATAATCAATTAATGAGAGGTCATAATGGAGAATACTTTTTCTTTTGGTAATGGTGGATCTTCCGACTGATTCTATAAAGTAAACGAAAGCCCAACAAGAGCCACTTGTGTCTATTTGACTTGTTTTGTTATTCCTTCCTCTCTCTCTCATCATCATCAAGCTCCCAAATTTCGCATACCTCATCAGGTCAGGTTTGTGTATTATCTCAAAGTAGATCTTCTAAGTAGGAATTTAATCGAAATTTCGTAGTTATTATTATTAAATTTCGTAGTTATAAGTAGTATTATCTCATCAGTTCTACTTAATTTAATCGACAGATATTATTCATTCTCAAAATGTTTGAGATTGAGAATCGAAATATATTGTGATGATTGCTTAATTCGGTTTTTGTGGAATTGGAATTGGTTGTGATGATCAATTTGTAATGTTTACTTATCACATTTTGGTACACCAAAAGAAAAAAAGCAATGTAATTTTAGCTTTCACATATTTCTGAAACTTGGATTAGTTTATTATTATTATTATTGCAGAGTAGAAAAAAATGGCAACAGCATCAAGGTTCCAAGCATTCTTGAACAGTCCGGTTGGCCCAAAAACAACTCATTTTTGGGGTCCTATAGCTAACTGGGGTTTCGTTGCTGCTGTATGCTTTCTCTTTTCCATTTTCTTCAATGTGATCCAATGGGATTTATTCATCGTTTTTAATTTGTTGTTTTTTGAACAATAATTAGGGTTTGGTGGATATGCAAAAGCCTCCGGAAATGATTTCTGGAAACATGTCCTCAGGTATCTATCTTATTATTGAAGGCCTTCCTTATACGCAAGCATTATTAGCTAGGCTAAACGTCTCTAATAATGCCATTTTGTTTTTGTTACAGCCATGTGTATTTACTCTGCGTTGTTCATGAGATTTGCGTGGATGGTGCAACCACGCAACTATCTACTACTTGCCTGCCATGCTTCCAATGAGACTGTTCAGCTCTATCAGCTCTCTCGTTGGGCTAGAGCCCAGGGGTAAATTTCTATATAAATCTCAGACAACCATGTTTATTTGGGTGAACCATCATAATTAACATGGGTAAATGCATTACTCAAAAATGAACTTGCTTAAGGATTGCTGTTTTATAGAGGAAGCCAATATTGAAACCCCATAAACGTGCTTTATAACAGGTATCTATCCTCCACGAAAGACGAGGAGAAACAGGCTCAGTAAACCTAAATGATGAATGAGAGAGGCTTCTTTAACACTGCAAGCATTTTTTTTTCTGGGAATTACTGAAAACTATCCATTTGATTTTCCTTTGAAACGTGTTTGTCTTGTGTTCCCAAGCTATATGGTTACTTTACTTGTTGGATCCTTCAACAATTATCTCTTTTTCTTTCATAAGTAACTACTTGTAATAAAACTTGGGACCTGTCAGCGGCAGTCCACATTCCTGTTACTCCAAACACAAATTGTTATTGAACAAGAGACTACTTATTAGCCAAGTTGAGACGGTTACTTGAGTTTGGATCTGTTTCCAAGCACATGATTTGACATGAGTCGAAATTACAGACACGAGCGCAAATGAACAAACTTCCATATTTCGAACAAATATTCAATATATTGCAAGTCTCAATCGCATAGAAATTTATCATCACAATCAAGTATAGCAAAGGTCTCCGCTAGCTACTATCCTCCAGAGACAAAAAAAAAATACTAACTGATCTGTTTTGTTTATTTGTGTCAAGCTCATCCAGCATCAATTAATGTTTTGCTTGGGGACACTTTTATTACATGAAATGAAACCTCGTCGAGGCCGGAAACTACGGAATTTTTTGATTAACAAGTCCTCTCAGAATTTGAAAACCATTTGCTCTGTGAATCCGAGTTCCTTGAGAATCCCCTTGACCTGCAGTGAAACAAACCAATTAGACATGAAGTGCTCGATCAAACGGTTTGACTAGTTTTTCAGGTTTCACGTTATTATATTGCCAAGATACGATGTTGATGAATTGGTACAAACCTCTCCTTGTGACCAGTCTGGAGCTTTGCCTCCGGATACATGCTCCATCATCCCAGGAGGACCACACACCTGAATTTAACAATAAATCATACCACATTAATCAATTGTGGATGCTTTGATTCTATTAACTTCTTTTGTCAGCAAATCAAATGCGTATCGCTAAACGCTTTGACATTCTAATTCTCACTCTCTTAGGAAACATTGTCCATTACGGTGGAAACTAATACAAAACATCTGCATAAGGAAAAAAATCCACTAACGAAACTAATGTGATGTCATGTCATCTTGTGTAATTAAGCAGAAGAGATTGTAGAAATACTTTCTTCAAATAAACAAGCAATGGTTCTAAAGATTACAAGGTAACTTACAAGGATAAGTGTGTCATCCGCAGGAAGAGGTAAGCCTTTCAGAGCCATATCCTTTGAAATGTAACCCACTCCTCCTTTCCAGTTTTTACTGGGATTGTCCACAGTATAGAATACCTGTCGATTTTTAACATTTTTTATTAAGAAATTAAGAGAACAGTGTATGCTAACAGTCACCAGCTAGTCAAATAAGCAATTGAAGAAATCAAGAGTATTATACCTTCAGATTTGGGTGGTTTGCCTGAAGTACATCGAGCTTTTGCTTGAGAAGTATATCATCCGGAGAAACATTGGCATAGAGTAATGTTATCTGTGCACACAAAATTGTAAATTTCTATGTTAGGATCTTCTTTGGTCTATATACTCGGTTTTCAAATGAGCTGTAAAAACTGATAACAGTTTCAAGACCTGGGTGAAGAAACCAGCAACTGGAATACGTTGAAGTACAGCAATTTGTATGGATAGATTACATACTTCAATATGGGTATAAAAATGATCATTTGAGAAAAAAAAAAATTTAACAATAAACTGGTCACCTTCGTGTTGTCCTCAGGATTCTTCACAATGGTATCAATCACCTGAAGCATTGGAGTAATCCCACTTCCACCAGCAATCTTCAGGTAATAAGAGAAAATGGATACCAACACACAAAACTATCAGAATTTATTCGTCATTACATTGACTTGTATCTATGAAAAGAAACTGAATTTCTACGGACTTGTATTTCAGTAAAGGAAGCAAGTGAATTCACTCCATACGCTGAGATATGGAAAAAACTACTAGTGCAGTTCATATCTTCAAATTTCAACTTTCACATATGTTTTTTCCGGCTTTCCATTTTCATAAATAAAACAGATTATATGAAATAAACTTTCGATAAAGTTGGTTGTAACAAGGGAAAAGGTTTATACCATGCCAATATGTTTCTTCATATTAGGCGAATACTTGAACTTTTCAATGGGTCTACACAAAACAAAAGGTAGAAATAGTTAAACAGCATATACAATAAAGAACTATCAACAACCGTAGTTAAGTAAATACTAAAAGTCAAGAAACTATACCCTTTCACTTCCAACACATCCCCAGGTTTTAAGCTGGCAAAATGCTGACTCATTTTTCCATCTGGATATACCTGGAAAAGGCAGTGAACATATATATCATTATAAAATCAAAACAAATTGAAGAAATCATCAATCATAACACAATCAGTTCTTTGCTAAAAAAAATAGTACCAAAAGTGGAGAGATGCACATGGATATTAGAGAACACTCATGGGGTCATACCTTAATCAGTAAATCAAAATGGCCCTTAGCCTCTGGGTCTGATATAGGAGTGTAACTGAGATTAATTCACAAACAAAAGATAAACATGGTTAATAGAAGCCCTACGTACATATAAGCACACGTATTTCCAAGATAACATGCGATAATCTAAAAAAGTAGAATTTTATAAGGCAGATACCACCACAAAGTGTTTTAAACAACTAGGCTAACAGATTCTCGAACTTAATAAGAAGAACGGTTGTCCGGATACGAAATACAATCCAAATCTGTGGAGAAAATTTTAGCTGAACTTACGGTCTAACGACATATTTCGTTTTCCCTTCAGCATTATAACCTAAAGGAGCCCTGTACAAAGGAAAAGGAGACAGGTTAGAAATTTACCACTCTATCTGAGAAAATTTTCCAAGTTTTCAGCAAATAAATTTATTTTACTATAAAATTGTACGCGTGAGATTACAGCATACCTTGTCAGGAGACAAGAAGCAACATGAAGACCCAAGTTGGCTGATGGGTCAAATGAGAACCTAAAATTTCAAGGCAAAAACAAAACAAGAAAACCAAAGTTAATCGACATGACTTACACATATTTATCATTCAAGAAATGGACTTACATACAGGATCATTGCGGTAAACAAAAAAAGTATAAGAGCTTAAAACGTCTTCAGGTTATACGAAAAAATTATTAATGGCACCAATGCCCGTCACCGATACATGGATACAAGCCTAGAAGTTAAAAAAAAACTTAATCACATCGACTTTTAACCCACAATGATTTCACTATGAATACCTCACTATGCAGAGTAATAGGGATACAAGAAAGGATTCGAAACAAACAAGTATTCACCAGCTAGCTATCCATACCAACCCAACATCATATCCAATGTGTGTGTATTTATTAAAGAAAATATGAGTAAGTGAAGCAAAAATACCTGAACAACTTGGTGTTGTGGCTAACAGTAGCAGTGTCTTGAAGCTTGAACTCGAGCCATTTGTCAGGGTTTAGAGCTGAAACCAGTCAGAAAAATACCAGCAGAGGGAAATAAAACTGTCTTAGGTTTCATGTAGCCGACAGAAATAAAAAAGAAAAAAACACACACACACACACACACAATAAAAAATCTGATAGTAGCAAAAACGTTTTGAAGGAAAAACTGCGGTTAAGAGTATAAAAAAAGAGAGCACCTGTTTTGGGTCCTGTCTCTTCCTTAGCTTGATCCAGATAAGCCTGTGACGATCATTAAATCAACAAACGATAGATAATCAGACACATTAATAATCCCACACGAGCCAGTGATCAATATATATATATATCAAAACATACATTGAACAATATATATATATAGAGAGAAAGCGATCAAACCAGATTCGCAAACCAAAACAAAACAAAAATCAAATGATCAAAGGCGATTGAGAAAACATAAAAAAAAAATAAAAGAAAAAATAAATTCACCAGGTTGTTGGCGGAAGTGAGGTAGTAACAGGATAATCCACCGGAAAGAGCAGCGATTGCGCCGGCAGAGAATCGGAAAGTGCCATTACCGGATTTGATTTGGGATCGGAGTGCGGCGGGGAGTGCGATCGGAGCTGACCTAGCGAGTCGGCGGAAGAAGGAGGTGGCCATGGTTTGGTTTCAGATCTCGGAGAATAACAAAGGTTAGCGCAATGGGGGGAGGGTTTTAGAACCTTATTGTCAGTGAGACTAACCTGCAAGGGTGAGGGAGGGTGGATTCTACCCTACGGACATGTGTAGGTTTATAACGGTGGAAATTTACAAAACAAAACATTTATTTTTACTTGTTTAATACTTATTCCATTTCATTTTGGTTGTTTCCTAGATTTTTTGAAAGTACGGATATTATTTTTGTTGTTTTATCTAGCGATGGATGGGGATAAATATTTTGTTTTGATGATATAAAATAGGCCTGGGCGTTCGGGTACCCGTTCGGGTTCGGATCGGGTATTTCGGATATCGGTTCTTTTTTGTAACACCTCTTAGGTCCCATTTTAAGAAATTCTTAAATTCGGATCGGGATCGGATATAACACATCGGTTTCGGTTCGGGTTCGGATTATACTGAAGTTACCATATATCATTTGGGTTCGGGTTTTACTGTATCGGTTTCGAATTAACTAAAGTAAAATTCAAAGAAAACAAATAAACAAACACTCATAAGTTGACTAGATAAGAACTAAAAAACATGTCTCCCAAAATTAATAAACTCAAACTTAGTAAAAACGTTTGCAACAACACACTAATACCGATAATAGCTACATAAAGTTTTAAAATGGAAAACAAACTGAGACAAAACCGTAAATAAATTACTATGATTCATGACACAGAAGAATCAGATTGATTTCTGAAAATCAAGTCCTTTTCGGATTGAGTTCTTGAAATCAAAGATGGTGGAAGAGATAGCGAGAATTGCATGTTTGTGTTTCTGAACATACTCTTCGATCAAACACCTTATTTTAATAGGAGATTAGGCTTTTGAAACTAGAAGAAGAGGAATCGCCCCTAAGGTTATTATGAAATGTGTGGTTGTGTCTAAACTTAGTTGTGTCTTACAATTGAAAATAACAAAGTGTGGTTGTGCCTTCTTGGAAATTGTCAAAATCAAATAATGATTAATACGTGTATATACTTACTGTACATTATACATATAATCGGTTATTTCGGGTTTTAGTTCGGATATCGGATTAAACCGAACCCGAACCCGATATCCAAAGTATCAGCATATCAAACCCGATCGGGTATTTTGAAAGATCCATAACCGGTCGGGTTTGGGTTTTTCGGTTCGGGTTCAGGTTCGGTTTCGGATTATGGATAATATGCCCAGGCCTAATATAAAATATCACAGAATCAAGTTAAATTATTATGCGGATATGAAGAAATTTTTGTTTTATAATGTCTCAAACAATTTTTTTATGTTTTTAAATAAGTTAACAATGGTTATACGTAAAATGTGTACTTGAGAAAGATTGTATATTTAACAATTAAATAGTCCATTTTTTTAGTTTTGTGATTAATTCGTAAAATCATTTACTTACAAAATTTCAATCGCTCAGTACGATCCACCCCGTCCGATATGAAAGGGTTGAGTCATTTTTTCTACTCAAAAATTTGACCCGTCTGACCTGCAAAGAAAATATATTTTTGCAAGTTTTTTATAAAATTTGAAAGAGAATTAGCCCACTAATGAAACCCCATTAGTATATCATTTTTAACCCCCAAAAACAAAAGATCATATTGTCATTCATGAAAATAAAAATTTGTTCATATCATTAAAAGTATAATTGGAAAACATAAAAAATTCATTAAACAGAATATGTGTGTTTTAATGGTATTGATATCTTATGTTTGTGCGCACATATTAAAAATATTTAATTTAATATAATTTTTAAATAGAAATATCATCAAATAGTATATAAAATTAATAAATTATATATTGAAAATATACAAAATCATTTATTTTGAAACAAAAAATTGACGTTACAACGACAAAGAATCAGATGGAATGCGCAATAAATTTTCCTAAAACCTAATACATTTAAAATATTGTTTAATTATTACTAGTTAAATACCAATTTTCAAAAATATCATAACATAAAAGCTAGAGTATTGATTGTTGTTTAAGATCTAGAACTTACAGAGTAAGATTAAATTAATAATTTGAGATATTTATAAATGATTTAAAATGATTAATTTATTTTTTGCATCACCAATTTAAGGAATTTATGAAAATAATTATTTTTTAATGATAAAATTGCCAAAGTTGTAGTAAATTAGAATTTTTCATATTTTTTCTATTGATTGTTGTACAATATTAATAGCTAGATTGACATTACATGAATCTATAATAATAAAGTTGGCTTATCTGCCCCCACAATCCTCCACGTCCCTTTTTCTTGATGGGGGGTTTTCCGACACGTGTCGAGTTATGGTTGGTTGTACGCGTCATTTTTTTTTATAAGCCGACGAGTGTATTTCGTGCTGGGCTTGCAACACTTTCAAAGGCCCATGCTAATTTTTTATTCTGGCCCGTAAGGAA